TATCGTTGGCCATGTGACTAATAAATTTGTCTGAAATCAAGCCAATTCCATCTATAAAGTCTTCACCAGCTTGAGCCGCAGTCTTGCGTTGTCGTTTTTGAAAAGGTTTATGAACTTTGACTTTTGAATCGATTTCTGGTGATCGATCGTGTTTGAATCTCTTATTCTTCATGAATTTATTCTTGGGAAGATCTTGAGAAGTGCTGGTAGGTGCTGGTGTTTCTTCATCGGATTCGATAGCACGCTGAAGTCGAGATTCATCTAAACTCCCAAGTTGACTCCCATCATGGCTCATTGATTTGCCACTTGAAGTATCATCATCCTTATCTTTTTCACCTTCTCCAACAGCTTCCTCGGCAGGAGCAAAAGAATTGATCTTCCCAGTTCCCTTGGCCATCCCAGGACCGACGAGCACACCAACTGATTCATAAAGCGGGAAGGGGTTCCTTCTGAACCAACCTAAACGCTTGTTAGTTCCTGACTGGGATGAGAAAGTCACAGCATTAGCAATCAGACAAGAAAGAAGGTATGAAGGTAAGAATGAGCTGGGCATACTGGTACTTTGGCCATCTCGTTCCAGATGTCGGAACTGAGCTCGACCATATTCGTTTCGGGGTTCCATCCGGCACCGCTTTTCTTCAACAAATCGCTCGCATCTTTGTACCGTTTGTTAAGCTTAATTTGAAACAAAGATACAATTAATATACAGTAGAAAGAAAGAGACAAAAGCAAAAGACTTACCACATTATAATGACCATGTACCATCTCACCAGTCTTTTTTTTAGTCGCGCCTTCAGTACCCTTCAATTCAGTTGCAATCAATGCCCAAGTTGCTTTTGAAAAGCATTTATTACTTTTATTGTTCCTATGAGTTTTTATAAGATGTTCGATCATTTTCGATTCTTGGTCACTGGTCCATTCGCACTTGGATGAGGGTGTTGAAACAATCGGACTGTCTTCAACTGATTGTGATATGTTGGTGGACGCCGGCATGTCGAGATTGAAAAGGTAAAGGTAATGTAATGAATCAATTGAATGAAATGATAAATAACAGTTGAAGGAAGTTTTTTTTAAGATGAAAGTGGCTTGAAGGATATTTTGAAGTCGACTTTGAGTTTCGATGAGAGGGGATATGAGGTTGACCAGATTGATTGATTGATTTAACTGAGTGAGCAAGGTTGAGGTAGTGAAGAGTTGAAGTTATTTGTGATGAGAAAGAAAAAAACAAAAAAAAAATTGATTGTTTTCGGTGAAGTACAAAAAAAGACAAAGTGATACTTCGAGATGAAAGAGAATCAATAGATATTAGTTGGTTTTCATAAAAAAAAAACGACAAAAAGTCGTTTTGGAGAATTTGTACAAATTTTACATATAAATGTCAAAATATGTATATCTGTTTCGTTGCAGTTTAGGTTACCAAATTGGTTTTCCGGGTCATATATACAACCGAAATTCGGTATGTTTTTTTGGTGGTACATATTTGGTCGCATATGTAACATATGCGTTACCGAAGTGGGTGTAATATATGACTGTATTATATTGACAATGTGATTCAATTTTCATTTAAATTTTAACTTGTGATGTTTCTCTGCCAATAATCTTCTTGAGCTCATGGCTCAAACCTGACAGGTTTATTTTGAGGTTGTTTATGTCTTTTAGGAAAATCTCTTGGTTTTTTCACGTCAAGTGCCTCTCAAAGTTCTCACTGATATAGCATTCTTGTTATCTCATAGCTGTTTCATTTCCTTAATTGTTTCCATCCTTCACCAAGTCATTTTGAACCATTGTTGATTTTGTGTTCTTCATATATCCTTTCCATCTGTGTAGATTGTGGGCTGATGGTAAATGTAATAGAAACATTTCTGTACTGTAGTAAGCTTTACCAAGTGAGCACAATCAAAAAATTTACCCTTATCCAAGTGGGCTGTGTCACAGGGTGAGAAAAAGTGGGATGAACCAAACCTTACCAATTGGCCATGTGATGCTCATCCCTTGCTCACTTCAAGCCAAGCTCATTTACATTGGCTCTGGATGAGCAGGTTTAATTTCATAGGTATCAGAGTCAGGGTTGTCATTGTGTGGGATAGCTCACATAGGCTGCCTCACTCAATTAAAAGGTGAGCAATGCACATTTCTCACATGATTGGATCCACATTGATACCATGCATGGTTGTTCTGATGTAGCCATCACCATCAGGGGGCCGGTTGAGACACAATTCCCTCACATTGGACTTGGCTGTGATGTACATAAGGAAACTCAAATTCTGGAGCACTCACCCCAGAATTCAATATATTTATCAAAATCCCCCCTCAAGTAGTCAAGGGATAGGCTTACAGCCAAAGTCCCCCTTGTTATCTGAGCTTACAGCAGTAAGATGTTTGGCCTCTTTTGCTTTATTGCCCATTATGAGGGTTCTGGACATCATCAAATCTTGCTGCCAGCCGCAAGGATCTTCATCCAAACCTTCTTTGTGACCCCATTTGTTTTTCAGCATACATTCTATTCATCAAACTCACTCAAAGGAGTTGTCAGAAATTCTAGCTGAAACACCTAATTGGATACAGAACCCCCCAAGGTGCGCTTGAAATCCCCAAAACACAGTGTCCCAGAAATGAAATAGCAGTGAATGTACTTGTTGTGAGGATCCGAGACCAGCACCATTATACACACAAGATGTTAAGGAACCCATGAGTGACTGGAAGCAATATTTGATGAGGTGTGGAACCCTCATAATGGGCCATAACATAAAGATGAGTGAAACTATTGCTGTTGTGAGTTGAAAACTATGACTGTAACCACTCATGCATGAGCCAGTTGAGATTTTCTGACCTCAAACTCAGGATGTGAAGGACCATTTTCAGGATACAAAGTAGAATCTGGGCATCTGCCTGGCCTTATGCCCAGATTTCTTTTGTCTGTAAATTTTGATTTTCTGGGCAAAAGTCCTGGCCCAGGATCCACAATTACTGCTGAAAAAAACTCTGTGCACAAGGCCGTATTCTACTTTGTATCCCATGATTGTGCTAACTTGACCCAAGTCCCAATTCTTGTAGGGGCTTTCTTACCTTTGCAAGCTTGGTACCCTGGCCCTGTAGTTGGTGCAATACACAATTTCTGAGGAGAACAAAATCTGCAGGACATTAAGATGAACAACTTTGGTTTTTGAACAAAGTTCATCAATTGACTATTGGTCCTCTTGGAAGAGAAAGAAGAATGTTTTATTTAAATCCTTTATAAATTTCATTTTAGAGGTACAGCCACCAAATTTCAGATTTCAAATTGTTTCTTTCATCTTTGAGAGAGCTCAGAGGGAGATATAAGAAACCTGAATAGACAGCTCTGAAGGAAGTGGTCACAAGTAGCTCCAGTCAAAATGGGCATGGGGGTTTACTGAGATGAAGTGAAAGTTATTGCAATTTTAAAAAACTTCGCAGCCAAACTTTGATTTTGAACCACCTGCCAACACACCAAAGAGAGCAAATAATTCCTAAGAGCATCCACAGTGGTCCCCCAATTGTGGGGGCTCTCCATGATGTGGGGAGTCAAATAAACAAAAATTGCTCCAACAGACCTCACACAATCAGGGGTGAGACATCAAGAGTCTCCAGTTTTTGAGCCAGGCCCTCCACATCTGCAAGGTCCAGGCAGGCTCTTGACATCACTTGCAACCTTGTGCAACTGCTTCAACATGACCAATACAGAACACCAGTATACAGGCAACCTTTGCAAAAACAACTGCAACACTCCTCCAACATCTTTATTCAGGCATATTCAATTCACTCAACTGGGTTTTGCTGCCCCTTGTCTGCTGTGGGAAGTGCATTTCTTTGACCCCCCACATCCAAAAATCAGGATCAGGAATTTGTTTCCAAGCTCACACAATTGGATGACTGCTGTGAATGCTCCAAGTTTTCTCCCAACAACCAAGCTCACAAGGAAAAGGTGTCTGGCTACTGAGAGACTTAGGGTGTGTTCACTTAAGCAATTTCTGGTGAGAAATCACATTCTGCAAAATTTAAAGTGTCTATTTGGTGGAGCATGTATGTTTTTTGGATTAAAAAATTCACAGGATGTGATTTCTGGTCAGAATTTCCTCAAGTGAACGGGCCCTTAGTTAAGTGAGGTAATTGTGCAAGTAAAATTGGTTGGCAAGAAATTTTGTTGCCCTTCACAGAGCCTTGCATTGAATTCAGCGAGGCAAATCCTAGCTTAACAACAAGCCCACTGTGCCAGGTGATTTTTCTCGGACTCGTCCGCCCCTGGCACAGGGGGCTTGCACATTAAACGACAATCGTTGCGTGACTAATAGCCACCTTTTGGTGGGTGTTTTTTCACTTCGCTTTTACACCACGACCCACAAATGCATTTTCTTCAAAAAAACAGTCAGATGAGCTCTGTCGAGTTATGAAGGAAATGGCCTCTTCAGAATCTCGACAGAGCTCATGATCGTGTTGATTCATTGAGGCTGCTTATTTTGAGATTTGAAATTTCAACCGCTAAGATTGTTATGTGTACCCTTAAAAAGGCTCGAGAGATGGTCAATTGACTCCCTTAAACAAACTTATTACTCGTTTTCCAGCTCAATTCTTGTGAGCTGGCACTTTTGATTCTCTTTTTTTTCTAATAGAAGTTATGTACAAGATGCTGAACTCATACCAGTCAGTTTCAGAAACAACATCAAAGTAATGTTGAATGAGATAGGATGGGTTGCATCCAAAAGTGACCCAAATTTCACTTTTTGGAGCTATTGGTCACGCCCGAGATGTCGTTTAATGTGCAAGTCCCTCGTGCCTCGGCTTCGGGTTACCGTGAGCTTTAGCACGATTGGACTTGGGTTAAGTTAGAGGCAAATCGGATTGCGATGACTGCACACCCAAAAGCAGCTCCTCACCTGTGCCGGTTGCAAATGGCGATTTAATAACACAAAAGCTCACAATCGGGGGGGACACGCAAGTCCCAAGGGAACTTGTGCCAGCATATGCAACTCTCAAAGAAAGTAGAAGTGTTGAAGGGCTGTAATCAAACATTGTTCGGGCGTGGTAATGTTTTTATAATTTTGCTGACCAGCTTCAACATAACATAGATGCGATTGTCATTGACACGCAGGAAGTAACCATACTTATCGACAAAATTTTGAGTCGGTTAATTTTGATAATGAATGTCTGAACAAGCAGCTGGAGCGACTACCGGTAACACCGGGTCGATTTCACCTCGAGATCACAAAGTTTACCAACCACCACCGCCACCACCACCACCACCTTGGTTACCACCTTGACGCCATCCACCTTGTTGGCCGTTTCCTGCATAGCCTCCTGAGGGAGCAAGTCAGCAAGAGTGAGATGCACAACAGAGGATCTGAGACTAACCACCACCACCATAACCGTTGTCTTGTTGACCACCATAACCACCTTGATGACCACCACCGTAGCCACCTTGGTTGCCACCGTAGCCTCCACCACCGCCACCGCCACCTGAAAAGCCATTCTCAGATCAGCTACCTGCGAAGACCATGCAAACGGAAAAGGAAATGCAAACCTCGGTAGCCTGTTGAAGAAAGAAAATAGATGTCAGCGGACGAAAATACAAAGAGAATGAAAGAGCGCACCTCCTCGGCCACCACCACCACCGCCACCACCGCCGCCTCCTTGGCTGGTAGCAAAGTTGACCTAGAAAGCATCCGTTCGTCAGTGACAAAATTACTGGCTATGATCGAGAAACAAGACGTACTCGGATGTTGCGACCATCAACATCAGCTTCGTTCAAGGCATCGATTGCGGCTTGGGCCTGATCCTGGTTTGAGAACTGGAAGATGGGGCGCTCAAGCATTAACATCACGGGAGAAGACTAGAGATGGACAGGAGACAGTTGGACTAAAGGAGAGGACACGATTCTCAATGAAAGACTGAGATGACACATGGACATTCGTCATCAGGATCCATATATCAGATCAGAGTGAGGCATACCAGCCTGGTACATTCAGAGAGTGCGAGGGTTTTGACCCTGCCCTTCCGGAGACGCGACCACAAAAGCTTTAAATACAGCAAGCAACCCACGATCACGAGCACCGGAAAAGGCAGAGGAAATTACCCACAAGGTTGAGATGACAGTAGCTATATGCAAAAGAGACTATGATGTTGAGGTATGTGGGTTGTTGATAGGTGTTGATAAAAGGTGACGAGTTGTTAATTGAGCGGAGAAAAGCAAGCCCACGGTAATGAAACCAAAGCCACGGCTTCGTCCGGTTTCGCGGTCTTGCATGACTGGAAGGACACACGATAAGGTCGAGAACATGAGCGAGGTCCGAAACTATGAACATGTTTACTGAAAGAAGACAGCAACTTACCGATTGCATCGACTGATAGACAACGTCAGGAATGAGAAATACGCCGATCAGCAGAACTCCGATCACAGCAGAAAAAAGGTTCGACGTACCGACTTCGCCGTATTGATTGAAAGCCTGGGTGAGGCTGTTTGTGTCGGTAGACCAGGCGAGGTTACCGACGAAGAGCTTGTTACCAGCAGACATGATATTTAAAGAAGTTGACGACGTGAAAGATCGAGCAAGAGGTTTGAGGATCAAGGACCTAAGCATCCGACGGGGCAACCGGAGAAAGACAAGGAGAGGTAAGAAGGAGAAAAGCACACGGAGAAAAGGGAAGAAGAACTGAACGCGACTGGATTGAGAGCACGAGTGGTCACGACACAAGACTAGCAAAGCGGACAAGGAAAGAAAAGAGGTTCGAAAGGCGGTTGAGAAAACTGAACCGGTTTTTATATTCGAGAAGTCAAGGTGGGGTGGGGAAAAAACTTGATTTCTGAACACCGATCGGGTATCGCCGTGGATTTGCGCACACGTCATCCCCGCAGTCACTCGGCGCGCGCATATGGTAGAAATCTGTACTGAATTGGCGTGACACGTGACACACACTGAACCACCGAATTTCCGAAATACCCAGGAATCAAGATCAGCTTGATCGTCGTCCAGATACGGCCCAGATGTTTTTTGGGTGACGTTCATGCTCAGCTGCAAATATGTACATACCCTCCCGCGGTACGCCGCACAGCGTATCTGGTCAAGAAAATCTAGGCGAGGGTATTCACTTATCCCCGTCGAGGCCTGCCAAAAAAGAGAGGAAGAAAACGCGTCAAAGAAACAACAGGCTTAGGGAGTTTAAGTCTTAAAAGTTGGGTAAATCGACAGACCGTGGGTTTTGGTCGAAGTCAAAGTTGATGTTTTCAAGGCCTGGGTCTAAGAAAAATAGGTCTGCTGTTCCCCTCATTTCAAATGGATTGAAGTATACCCTTGTACTCTCAAAATCGGATAATGAACAGAATGATACTGAGAGCCTGAGTAGACGGAGGGGCCTAAAGTGGTCGATTGCCTCGACTAGTCGTGAGGGGGGGACTTTGGTAAGTTCAATGGCTTCTTGGTTGATTCGGAAATACGTTGTGGGATTGTTTTCTTTGTAAGTATAAAGTGCACTATTTTCAGAGGAAACATCATCATTGAAGGGGTGGTGGTTCAACTTGTATAATCCCAATTTTCAAACTTGGCATGTCCTCAGATAAAGCTCTTTCTCTCGAAGCTCAAACCTCATCTTTCTGATTTTTTTCAAGTGCCATTCTAAAGTCCCTCAAACACTCAGTTCTTTTTCAATTGTCCCATTCAAAGCTTATAGATCAACCCTACCTGCATACATAGTCTTTCGTTGTTTGATCATGCCACATAGTGGTAAGGAAGTCTATCAAACTTTGAATCACCCAATCCCCGGGCCCTAGGCAGCTGGCCGATATCTTTTCTGAAAGGTAGGAGGGAATTTAATCTGTCTGAACTTACACTTGTGTCATCTACTTGAACTCATCCACTAGAGACCGTATGTTTCCAGTGAAATTCTGAAGAATAGCCATGCTCTCTGGCATCCTTGCTATTCATACCAAATCATATCTGTCTTTGCTCTTTGTCTTTGAGTCTGAACTCTGTACTGTGGAAGAGATCAAAATGCCTTGCTTTGAATCAAGCGGGGTCGGACTTGTACTTTCTAATCTGGACCCGACCCGAGTTTCTCCACTCTTTGAAAACCAAATCGCGTGTTCTTTTCTCTGGAGACGCGACGATGTCCAATCCCCAAATCCCAATTCCAGTGATCAATTGGTTTAAATCAAGTTATCCTACTTTGAACTTTGAACAAGAATGGTTAAACCAATGTTACGATTATCTAAAAGTAAACTATCTATCTCTCTTTGCAAATCAATTCAATTCAAACTCTTAACCATGTAAACCAAAACTGACTCAAATCCTTCACTGTTCAACATCACTTTAGAACCATTTCGAATTAACTAATTCTCAATTAATCAAAAAAATCGAAACTCAATTATTACTTTCAGATTTATCTTCTTCAACTTCTTCAATTAATTCTCCTTTACCATTAACGATTAGTTTAACCAACTCATTACCTAATCTTCCTAAACAGATTTGTTTATCTGATCGTGGTATTTTAGTTCAAATTCAATCGATCACTGAAATTGCTCATTCGGCTTTATCTCTTGAAAGCACTTATCTCAAAAGAAAGAATCATGCTCAAGGTCGTGATCGGGTTTTAGATCTTGATGATGATGATACATTGGATAGGAAAGAACCGATTAGGTTTCCTAGAGCGATGTTAAAATTCGAACTTTCGGATGGTCATACATCAGTCAATGCTATTGAATACCGTAGGATTGATGGACTGGAGTTAGGTGAGACGCCTCTTGGTTGTAAAGTGAGTTAGTTGTTTTCCTCTTATTGGTCGTGTTCGAGTGAGTAGATGTGGAGTTTGATGAATTGATTTTCGAACAATTTTTTTGCAGCTTTTGATCAAGAAAGTCAAAGTTCGTAGGGGTATCTTACTCTTGACACCCGAAAATACGGTGGTCAAAGGCTTACAGGTTGAGGAATTAGATGCTCAACGCGATCAAATCTTTCAGACAAGTCTTGATATCCGTTTAGGGTAAAGCTCTCACATCCAAAGTTTCATATGGTTTGAGATTTACATGAACTTTCACTGACATGCCCTCATACTTGACAATTATAGACGACCATCTGATGCGGCGGATCAGCCACAGGCGGAAGACCCGGCAGCGAATGCTCAACCAGATCAGCCTCCCACAAACACCAATAGAAGCCGTGTGACGAACTCTACAAATAGCAATTCCAGAGCACCTCAAGCTTCCACCTCTTCTAATCGATCGCAAGGTCTATCACAAAATCGCTCAACAAATAACTCATCAAACATCAGCGCAACACCTGCCACATCAGCGCCTACCACTTCGAGTACAAGATCTCGACCTGTGACTATCGTGATTAGTGATTCCGATGAATATGATGACGACCCTGAATTTGACGCCGCATTGCTTGATCAATTGCCATGACAAGTGATGTATTGATCTCTTTATTCATTCGCAATACGTGGACATAAGTTACGACCGAGCAGCAATCCTAATCCCTGGATTGCTGATACTTTTGGTCGTAATTAATGGTCCTTTGTTCCTGTGCGTTGTAAAGTGTAATCCATCTGTTGAGGGACCCGCAGTATCAGGTAGCGGGTTCTGTTCTTTGATAGACAAGTCGAAATCGAACTTTTTCAAACCTCCTCTTGGCTGATCGAATGTAAGTACTTAGCTTCTCCATCCTTGAGATGATTTATTCATATCGTTGATTTCTGGTTATGCTGTATTTACCTTAGTCTTCAGTAGTTGAGATTTCAGTTTGTGTAATACAACAACAAGAATGTCAGTTTTCTGATCAATGCAGGGATTGTGTTTTCATTGTATAAATCCATCAAAGTGGGAATCTAAGGGCATCTATCAAATCAGATCTGTTAACCACTTCTGATTACATATATACCATTGTTACTTTGCCGTCAAGATTGCATTCTTAGTCTTTTAACCATGTGTTCAAGCCACTCTCGTTTGATCACATGAGCATTGAAAACTCTGGAATGAGATCCAAGGTTGTAGTGAGTTTGGTGATACAAATTTACCGAAGATCAAATTAGTTGACCGAAAGGTGATTCAAAGTTGTAAGATGAGTCATTAGTCTTGCAATTTCTTCATTTAACAGGAGAGTTGTATTTTCATGTTGCTCATTATAATTTCTGGCTGGTTGAGCTCTTCTAATAAACTCCTGTGTGGAGCGATATATAATGAATTTCTTACATGAGAATCGCATATTTTGGATCATGAATAATTATGGCATAAATCTTGAGTAGTTTAAACTTGATAGAATTTTTATGGGTACTTGGTCACAAAAGAACTTCATCATGAGGAAGATATGAAAAGTTTCTGTTATGAAAAATCTTTCACTGGTTTTGATGGTTGTGTTGGTTTTTGTTTTCGGGAAGGCAGCCGCCGACGAAAGTAATAAAATTTTGTTCAGATATCTTTTCTATGTACTTCAAATCAACTTCAAGGAATGGAATGAGTACATAAATAGTAGAGGAGTAGATACAGTAGATGTGTTGAGGTGACATTCTTCTTGCTTACAGTTCATTAACTTCATTCCACTATTTTCCTTGGAAATTAAATGCCTCTGGGTGTAAAAGATCAATCAGTTTGCTGTTGCTGGTTTGTATGATTGTATGATTCGTTGTTTGTACTCCAACAAGAACCATCCGTCTTTGGTGGAAATGATTTTGTGCAACAAAGAAGCCAACAATATATGTGGTGTCCATTGGTGCAATGATGCTTGGTTGAAAAAGCCAAAGCGGCATCGTCGGCCGTGCTTTGGTATGGAAGAAAAAAATTGGTCTTGATGGGCTTTTAGACTTACACCTAACTGATCTGTGGGCCGAGGGTTGTCCTTTTCCACCTGCTTGTGAAATGAATTTGAAAAGCTGATTTGATGAAAGTTTTCCGTGAAGATCACATTAAAAAGATTCAACATATGATTGGTCTCTCCAATCACGAATGTCAAAAAGAGTTCTCAGGAAAAATGAAAATCAAGTTGGATATGGGAATCAAATTCAATTTTCTGTTAAGATTGTTAAATAATATAAAAAATGATAGTAGGCAATCGAAAAATAAATATCGTCCTGACGATCAAGTAATAATAAAAAAAAACAAGTTTAAGTTGTTTTGTAGTTCAACAACAAAGAAACATAAATAAGCCAAAAAAAAAAAGAATAAGGAAGTAATCAAATGAGAAGGAAAAAAAACCAAAAAGTTGAGAAAGGAAAAAAAGGAATGTGATAATGATGAATGAAGCAAAAATGAAAAATAAATGATAAAACCCAGAATAAAGAGAAATGATAAATACATTGTATTTAAAACAGTAACTTATTCACAGGGTTTATAAGATCGAAAATAGTTTGGAAAATGATAAGAGATGGATATGGGTTACAGGTGTGTGTGTGAGGTAGAAAGAAGGGTTTAAAGCTTCTTAGGACCATACTTAGCAACCTAAAAAAGCGTAAAATGAGAAAAATCAAACAACATTAATCAAAGTTCAACATAAATCAAATAAGAAAAAAAGAATAATTAACTTACATCAGCCTGTGACCATTTATGTGATTTAGGTGCTTTAACAATCTTAGCTTGTAATCCATAAACTTTACCAACATCTAAATCATATAATTTTTGAAAAGCTCCAGTAGTTAGATCAATATGAGCTGAACCGGCTAGACAACCACCACATGAATCTAAGATTCTAACAATCACATATTTATTCTTTTTGTTAGAGTGTCTGATTTTCACAAATTCTCCACATGGTGGTTTGGTTGACCACTGATTTAGATTAAAAAAAGATGTTTGTTAGTAAAGGGCTTATAAAGAGTGGAGGAATTAGGTAAGGTCATGGCTTACGGCAATTGTCACTGCTCCTACCATTGAGCTATCTGTAGGTGCCCAACTGTTACCATTTGAGAGGCAGGATGGGTTGAGTAAATCGTGACCGTTATACCAAGTGATTCTATATGAGGATCAAATGTGGTCAAGTCAGATTGACTAATCGGGAAGAATGAGAGATGCGAAACAAACATCCAAACTTACATAACTCGCATTGATCGAGCGACGTGACGAGTACCACGTTTGACATGATGAGTGATAAAGCGAGGTGCACTACGACTAACAAGATTCTTGACATCACTCCAACTTCTAGGAATCAGAACGCTACCCGTTTCGCTATCCCTTTCAAGTAAAATCGAAGTAGTTTCACGTTTTCGTAAGTGATCGCCATCTCGTTTAGTAAGTAAAGATGAACCAGTAGATGTCTCTTCTGGTGCTTGCATCATCAATCCAGCAGTTAAATCTACCCAATCTTCATCATCCGTGAGATCAGAACGTTTGAAAAACTCTGTTAGTTCTGATTCAGGTTCGACAATAGCTTGTACCCTTGAGATAAACATCAGGCCAAGGGTAAGTAAAAAGATAGTAGAGGTGTGCATATTTGGTGTTAAGTAAAAATGATAAAAAGTATTGTTAAGGAAAAGTTAAAAAGGTAGTAAGGGAACTAAAAAAAATTCAAAGTCAATAGCAAAAAATGAATGTGGCAGCTAGTGCTTTGGCGATGAAGGTCAAAAACTCGTGAGATTGTAAAGCGGTTGCAAAAAGGGAGGGGGTAACTACTACGCAAAAGGTATGGATTTATATGAGATAAATGATACGCTGAGAAGGAAATCCTGAGGGTCGAAACACCAGCGTTTTAATTGAAGAAGTGAGGTATATAATTTGTTTTTGAGTCCTAACTGTCTTGGCTTAATCTAAGCGAAGAATTGAAAAAAAAAACGATATGAGGAGTTAACCGTGCAGCATCCAACCAACAGTAACAAAAGAAGATGATTACCAACCTCTCGGCTTCTCAGAACACAGCTGGTCAGAAAAAAATCGGTTGAGCAAAGACGATCGTTATTCTGAGAACTGGTCCGGTGATACAGGATGGTATGTATGTACTCCTGTGAAGATGAGTTTTGATAATCAGAGAAACCGAGAGAAAGGGTGTGGACTGAACAAGAAGGTGAGAGGAACTGACTCGGTTCAGTAAGATTATCGATATAAAAAATTCTGGGATTAAGTTGATTGCGTTAATCCTCTCACGGCTGCCAAGCGAAAAGGGGGAATCACGGTATGTATCACCAAATTTTGTCTGATGATTTTTTTTTTCTTCTTCTTCCTTACTTACTTTGTGTAGAAAAAGGTGGCGCTCGATGATTGTTTGGTTGAGTGTTGAAGTTGAGCTTAGTTTGACATTTGAAGCAGCTTAAATTCGTCAGTTCTTTATCTTTTTTTGATGTTGCAGGCTGTTGCCCACAGACAGACAAAGCAAAGTACATTGATCATCAGTTGATCAATATCAAACCCCTTACTGCGCTCAAATTGCAAAATCAAATCAAGTCAACTTACCTGATCACCTTGCAGCTTAAAACCCTTGACCTTAAACACTTGAAAATCGACAGTTGAAGCCTTTCTTCAAAGATCAACAGCTGACTTGGTTCTTGATGAAACAAAGTGTTGATGAATCATTCTGGGTCAACTTTAGTGAGATGACTTGCAAGCTCGCTCTAATCATCATGATCAACCTCCTCAGCGACCAGACTTACCTTGTATGTAAGTATGTATTCCAAGGGGCAAAGGCAAGTTTAAGCTCGATTCTGTAAATTTGGAAGCTTGATTCGCTTGACTACTTTGACCCTTGTAGTACAACTTCTCGCTTGTTCATCTCTATGTTTGGTCACCGAATCGATATTGCTTCAAGGGTTCTACTTAACCCAATCAGTTCCATTACACGTAAGAGATCAGTGTGAAGATCAAGAAATTGCTTCATGACGAGTTTATCCATGCGGCATGAACCGGTCTGCGAGGTAAAAGGCCTCTCGTCTGAAACTACCCGCGTCAATCGCCAAGCGCACTGACACTTCGGCTTTGTCTAGTTGAGTAAAAGGCGAGAATTTTAACCTTATCATTTATCATCACTTTGTCAGAAACTAACTAAATGTACGGAGATGGTGCGACTGGTCTCAAAAAGTAGCGACGGTTTCGCTCTCGACTCGCCTCCCAGATAGAGGTCGTTCTGAGATGGATGGTCAGATTTTCCAAGCCGACTCTCTTCTTTTGTGTTCCTCCGGGATTCCGATCATGCGTCATCAAATCCTCACTGAACGTTTCCAGTAGGTCTGCCTTGTCAAGCTCCGGCTCGGCATCACTCACACTTGGATGTGATGGCCAATTTCGATACTCTCTAGGCTGATGATAGAAATAACGATGAGTAAATAATAAATGCGGCTTTAGAAGCAAAGTCACCTGAGCTGGGCTAGAACTTCGTTCTTGTCCATCAAGCTCAATCGCCTAAATGTACAACGAACATCACTCGTATACCAGTAATAGTATTGTCACAATGACTCAAATTCAAATCAAGGATTGCTTAACCCAAGGACATTTTCATCAAGCACAACATCATCTTCTGGTTTTGTTCAACAAAGAAATCAGTAAGCTCAATTTGCTGAAGGACTCAGACAAGGCACGCCGTTTGGACCTCTCTCCACCGACCTGAGTCTGAGATTTCCAATACAATAAATGCTCGAGCTTCCAGATACGCTACTCCTTCACAAGAGCTCAGACTCTACCTTTGATCACTTTAAGCAAATTGCCGCACCAAATTAAAAATTCAACAATCAAGCTTTGAGCATATTAAGCATAAGAAATAGAACTTTTAAAGAATAAAATTCAATGGCATCAAATGGAAGCAATGACAGCTGTTGTAAGATCTATCAGCAGATTTTGAGAGCTTTGTGTTGTTGCTAGCTTTAATGTAGAGCTTGAAAAAGCCCTTTTCCGATTGAGAACTCTACTGCTTATTGGTCCAATCTGCACCAGGACAATAGGGTTCAGTCTGAAAGTGATAGAATCTCAAGTTTGTGACTTCAAAGGTTAAATCTGGCAACAAAAAAACTCTTCTAAAATCTGCCAATAGATCTTACAACAGCTGAAACTCTTTCCTGAACAATCTGATCCAAAACAAAAGTCAAGAGTGCTCAACAGAGCGTTCTTGGTCAATGCAGCACAAACACATCCAGCACAAACAACCTCTGAAAAAACAACCAGCCAAGAAGACACAATGCAAAATAATGCCAAAAAAAATCAGGAGATAAATGCCAAACACATTGTGGTAAAAGTATATGGAAAGAAGGATAGCTCTCAAGGAGGTGGGAAAAGTCAATGCAAGAAGGTGCAAGGGCGTAAAGAGGGAGATCAGTAAGAAGTACCAGCAGATCCACCAAATACAAGCCGTTCACTGCCAACACAGAACTTGTCACAGGTGACAAACTTGACTGGGAGGTAAACCAACTATTGAGGAAAGCCCACCAGACAATTACGGTACTCAAAGTTGTGTATACTTTGCCGTGTATAGTTTTTTTTGTTTTTTTGAAGCTAGACACAACCTAGAAAAAGTATGTCTTTTGTTTGCAGCTCAAAAATATGTACCTCTGAGCCAGAAACATAGTTTTTCCTGGCCGTGTGTAGTTGTGAAAAAGAAAAGAAAAACTATGTACGGCAAAGTATACACAACTTTGAGTACCACTAATGAGCCAGCACCACACAGCAAAAGTTGTAGATTACATTGAAGGAGCACAAAATCAGGACAAGAAGTCAATCAACAAATAAGAGAGCTGGCTACAGTTCAAGAATGCCAAGAAAGAGCCAATTAAATCTTTTCAGTTTTTTGAGCCAAGGTATTTCTCAGTGCATAGGAATACCTCAGAGAGCACACTTGGTCAAATTCTGTCCAAGTATGTGCATTCAATGATGCCCTGGATTCCTCCACATAAGGCATCTATTTTGGCAGCACCATTGGTGGTGTTGTGTCATGTACTCCATAGAGGAGCTTGTGCCATACACTCATCTACTAGCATGATGAAATCTAAAGTTTGTGGGGGTATCATCAGGCTCTCCTTCAAGTTCCACCCTCTGGTCTACCAACCTCTGAGAGATTTTTCAATCATATTGAGAATTCAATACTGTCAAACCCGTGCAATTGCATACCCGCACAACTGCATAATCAGCCTTTTTGCATAGGCCAGGACTTCCCCCAACTTGGTGCGGGCTAAAAATTGGATTTATTGCATAATTTCGTCAAAAATGATAATGCATAAGTTAAAACCCAAAAAAACCGGGTCTTGGAAGCCCAATTGCATAGCTTTTGCTCAAAATACAGGATAAAAAGTACATAATTAGGCATAAACCTTGAGCCCTAAGTCTTAAAGACTAGCTCATAACCTGCAAAAATGCATAATGTTATGTATTTTGGCCTATTTCCACATAGATGCATAACTTTATGCATTTTAACCTATCCTGTATTTTACCTCACTTTGCATAACCCATGAAATTGCATAGGCCGGATGTTCCCCCCACATTATGCAATTGCGCGGGTTCAACTGTAGTTCAAAATACCAACACTCGCAGAAATCAAATTTTTGACCCTCATCTCTACTGGAACCACATCAATAGTTATGGTATACAAATATTGTTCTGCAGATTTCCAAAAGGTTTTTCCCAGAGCGCCATAACCCTTCTGGTGTTCTGGAAAACTATATTTCTGTGAACAAGGTTCCACTTTGTGTTGCAGTCATGTACTCAGGATTCTGGTATTCTGGACTGCTGGGGCCTTCAAAGTTCCAGAACACCAGAATGCCAGATACCATCAACGCTCGGACCTCATCGTAATCTACCGTAACGTTATGGATAATCCATAACGTTACGGTAGACCGTATTCAGCACTGACCGTGTCGTACCGTTATGGGGAGGAACCGTAGCCAATAACCAGTTTTGGTACGGTAGGACCGTAACGTATCGTATCTCGATGACCATCTGAAGCTCAGATTTCGGTCATCGCGGGTGGAATCATAAAAAGATGCAAAAATACCAAAATTTGTAAAATGATAGTACTACATATTGTACAACATAGTGTAAATGTAGACGGTTTTAATGAGAGACAGAAAAAATGATGAGAGATAAGAAAAAACAGAAATCGAGAACTATTTAGTAGGACAAATAAAAAACGAGAGAAAATTGAAAAGGTCAAATATAAGACTATCAAGAGTTCTACCATTATATTCAACTAAGTTATGGCATACTCCTGTATATGTCTTCTCCCAGTTCGGACCAGCCTCATTGAACACAAAAATTGCCTCTGTTGTGAATCGCTTCATGAGATAACTAGATATGATGAGTGGGTTATTTTGAGGTATATTTGTTCAATCAAGATTGTTCTGGAGGGTTTGAATAAGAGTCACAAGCTCCAAATTGGACATCTCGTTTTCTGAATGAAGTCTGTCTTGAGTTAATGAATCTTGTTGACATCGCTTCTGATGAATAAGGAAAGTTGTTAGATATGGTCTAAGACGGGCTTGGAGTTGAGATCGGGTTTAAGATTGAGGGTAGGATGAATCGATTATGTGAAAAAGTCAAGTAGTCAGTACTGCTAGGTTTTGAGATGATGAATGGATGGATTTGATGCAAAAGTTATGTAGTTTCAATGACTTTTCATTCCCTTGTTCTCTGCCGTAGTCAACCGTAGTGACTACGGGTTTCGTCGCGGGCACTGCGACC